CACTCCGCTACTGAGCCCCTATTTAGTATAAGTTTCCAGCGGAATAAGCATAGACCAATACCTTGACTTCGCAAACTGTACTTTCGTCCGGGATTCTTCCCAACGGATACGCGATTTCTCTCTCCTCCTTTATACCCTCTCATCCCCTCACCGGGAAAAAATGTCTCTCCTCTTTCCCTTCTACCCCCCCCTCCCCACACACACTCGCCGGCCCAACAAACACACACACACACACACACACACACACACACACACACACACACACACACACACACACACATCTGCACTTCCCCACGCACTAACACATGCGCACACCCTCAACCTCCCCCCCCCCTTGTGCCCGGTGCGCGTGCTGCCAGGAGGAGGAAGAGGAGGCTGTGCTTGATGACGACCACAGCGACGCGTCGTCCGTCGTCTCGGAGGCCGACGAGGCAGAGTCCCTCGCAGCACCAGCAGAGACACAGCAAGGTAGCACGCTCACGTGGTGATGATGGTGGTGTTGGTTCGGTGCATGCGTGGTTGCGTGCATGGTCCACGCATGTGCCTGCCAGTATCTTGCTCTTTCAGCACACGCGCGCACGCTCACGCTCGTTCACACATTTGTCACGTCCTCATCCCCCCCCCGGCCACTTGCCTTTGTCGTTGCTGATCAGTTGCGGATCCGTTTGAGGACGGCAGCGGGTCTGAAGCGACGAGTAACGTCCTGAACTTCGATGACTCCTCGGACGAAGACGATTTCGAGGCCGCGATGCAGCCACGATCGGCGACAACAGCAGCAGCAGCAGCAGGTGGCGGTGGTGATGATGAGTACATTGATGTTGATGGCACGGAGCAGGAGCAAGGCGGGGAGAGCGCCATGGCTGGACCTGCCCGCACCATGGTGAGTCGTGCAGTGCAGTGTCGTGATGTGGTGCAAGTGCATGCATTTGCTTCCTCGTTGTGATTCTTGGATGGTTGATATGTGTCAACGTGTGTCTGTCCAGCCTTTTGTCCTGCTCAGCCATCGTGTGGACACAATTCCACTTCCCCATCCTGCCCCATCAAAACCCTCCCCACGCTTACCGCACATTCATACACACCCATCCGCGCGCACATCATCTGCGCACATGCGTATCTGCATCCCTCCCACTACTCGTCCCTCTTCCCCTTCCTCCCATGCACTCGCTCCAAAGCAGTTGCCACCGCCCGGTGCTGTGCGCATGTACGATTCCGACGATGATGATGACGATGATGATGATCTCTTTGGCGACGTGACAGTGGCGGCGGCACCAACAGCAGCTGCACAGCAACCAACGAAGAAGAAAAAGGCTGGTGGTGGTCTTGATCTCTTTGGCGACAACGACGATGATGATGACGACGACGACGAATGGGGTCTGGGTATCCCCACACAACAGCAGCACCAGCACCAGCACCAGCACCAGCACCAGCACCAGCAGCAGGAAGCGTCGGAGGAAGGCGCCGATGGTGAGGCTGCTGCTGGTGGTGACGATGAGTCATCGCAGCTCAAGCCGCCAGGCGGGGCGATGGCGCTGCCACATATGGGGGAGCTGATGAAGGCGATGAAGGCGCGCACGCGGCAGGCACCATCCAGCGACGAGGAGGAGGAGGAGGAGAATGACGACGATGAAGATGTGGGTGGAGGTGACCGCGCTGCCACAGCGCAGACACAGCAGAAGCAGCAGCAGCAGCAGCAGCAGCAGAAGGTGAAGAAGGATGAAGGGAAGAAAGCGAAGACAGGGGCATCCGCTGCTGCTGCGCGTGTTGGTGGTCTCTTTGCTGGCCAAGGTGATGACGATGACGATGATGATGACGGCGACTTCATGTCTGCTGCCAAGCCGGCTGCTGCGCCCGTGTCCGCCCCCGCAAAGAAAAAGGTGCGAGGTGGCGCGCACAGGAGAGGGGAGACAAAACATGTGTGTGCGTGTGTGTGCCTGTCTGCTGTTTTGATTGCCACCTGAAACCAACAGGGGTGTTGCGTAACCTTCAACTCCCGCCCGCAATTGACGCCTGTCACCTGCATGTCTTGTTCACAGCCGCTGAGTTTGTTTGGTGGTGACGATGATGATGATGACGACGAGGCAGACAGCCTCTTTGCCCCGCTCCCACGCGTCACACAGCAGCAGCAGCAGCAGCAGCAACAGCCCACACCTGCTGCAGGTGGTGATGATGAGGTCACAGGACCAACGGCAGAGGCAAAGGTGGGCAGATGAACCGGCTGGTGTTGCATGTGATATGATATCGTGCGGTGGCGGTGGTGCTGGCGGTGGTGATAACGTATTGTGGTGGTGGTGGTGGCCTGTGCTTGCATGTTCAACTGCGCCGGTGTCGATGTTTGTGTTGCCATGCGCGTGCGAATGAGATACGCATGCCTCTATTGCGTCACGTGAGCCCTCCTCCAGTACCTTTTCTTCATCAGGCAGACCCAACACTCCTCATGCCGTTCACATCTTCACCACCCCTCTTCATGCCATGTTATCGTTTTGCAGGCCACGAAGCCAAAGGTGAAGAAGAGCCTGTTTGATCTCTCGGACGATGAGGAGGATGACGACACGCTGTTTGGTGCAGCGCCAACCGCAACAGCAGCAGCAACCAAGCCAAAGACCGGTGGCAAGGGCAAGAGCCTGTTTGCCACCGACGACGACGACGACGACGACGAGGGTGAGGGTGAAGGTGACGAGGGCGGCTTTGGCGCTGCCGGTGCAACCAAGGCAGAACAGCAGCAGCTGCTGCTGCAGGGGGATGAGAGCACGGGTGGTGATGGTGGCGGGGAAGAGGAAGACGTGAAGGCCACGAAGCGGCGGCCGTTTGGTGGGATGGGACTCGGGGTGACAGCCGACCTGACCAGTGCACTGAAGAAGCGACAGCAGCAGCAGCCGGCGGCATCGAAGCAGGCAGCCACCGAACCTGAGCATGAGCATGGCGAGAGCGCAGGCACGAAGGCAGGTGCAGAAGCAGCGGAAGAGCCGAGCAAGGCTGGGGCGGCAAAGACTGGCAGTACGGCGATGGGTAAGGCGAGCAAGGCGAAATCGCTGTTTGACGACAGCATGGTTGATGATGAGGACGATGATGATTTGTTTGCTGCACAACCAAAGCCAGCGAAGAAGAGCGTACCGCTGCCAGCAGCGGCCGCCAAGACAGCGACAACGACAACGCGACGTGCTGCCAGCATGTTTGGCGATGATGAAGATGAGGAGGACGATGATGACCTGTTTGGCAGCTCAAAGCCCGCCGCCACCTCATCGCCGAAGCCAAAGGCAGCACCACCATCATCGTCAGCTGCTGCACCAAAGGCCAAGTCCCTCTTTGGAGGCGGTGATGATGACGATGATGACGACGATTCGTTCTTTGCGGTTCGTTGTGTGTGTGTGTGTGTCTGTGTCTGTGTCTGTGTCTGTGTCTGTGTCTGTGTCTGTGTGTCTTATATCTGCCTGCGCGAGCCCTTGTATGCATCCATGTGTGGCTACTGTCATTTATCACTCCCTTTGTCCCCCCCCCCCTTTGCTTATCATCTTTACCGTGACCCCTGCACCTCATTCTCCAGACGCCAGCCCGCTCGTCGAGCGCCAACAAGAAGATTTCATCTCTCGGCGCCGCCATTGCGGGCTCCATCCGCAAGCCGGGCGACCACCAGCCAACCCCCGTGCGTCTTTCTGTCTCTGTCTGGGTGTGTGTGTGTGTGTGTGTGTGTGTGTCTGTGTCTGTGTGTCTGTCTGTCTGTCTGTCTGTCTGTCTTTCTGTCTGTCTGTCCGTCCGCCTGTGTGTGTGTGTGTGTGTGTGTGTGTGTGTGTGTGTGTCTGTCCGTCTGTCTGTCCGTCTGTCTGTCTGTGTGCCTGCGCACGTATGTCGTTAACCCCCCCCCCCCTTTCTGCCTGTATCATCTCACTTTGCGGTCTCTTCAATTCCCTGCGAGCAGAAGAGGACTGAGGGCCCAAAGGCCTCCTTCGATGCGCCCATGACCACGACCCACACCCTCACATCCGCCGCCAAGACGCGCGCAAAGATCCAGGTGTGTGTGTGTGTGTGTGTGTGTGTGTGTGTGTGTGTTGTGTGTGTGTGTGGTGTGTGTGTGTGTGTGTTTGTTTGTTTGTGTTTGTCTGCCTGTGTGTCTGTCTGCGCTTCTGTCTGTCTGCACATCTATTTAAGCACGCCATGTTGACACACAATGCATGCACCCACTCCATTTGTGTCCATCCTCATCGACCGCACCACCACCACCACCGCCACCTCTGCGAGTGCAGAAGGGCACGCGTCGGCTGCCCACCCGCACCTCCCGCCGCCGCAGCGGCAGGGGTGCAGCTGCAGCAACAACATCGACGCCAAAGCGAGCTGCAACAACATCAGCAGCAGCAACATCATCATCACCGGCATCAAAGCCATTGGATGCGAAGAAGGAAGAGAGTGGTGCAACAGCGACCGCCATGAAGAAGAAGGCTGGACTCGGCGATATCTTCGGCGAGGTGCGTTGTCGCGCTGTCGTGCTGAACTGCATTTGGCGTGGTCGGTCAACTCGCTGTTTGTAGTTCGTGGTGTGAGAAACTGTGACCCGTACTCCCGCCTTTGCCGCTCACCATGTTGCTGTGCTGGTGCTTTGCAGGCTGACGATGATGACGACGGGGACTTTGGCTTCTCCCCTTCTCCCACCAAGGTGGTGCGCACGCGTGCGTGTGCGGGTGTGTGCGGGTGTGTGTGTGTGTGTGTGTGTGTGTGTGTGTGTGTGTGTGTGTGTGTGTGTGTGTGTGTGTGTGTGCAGAGGCAAGCGCGAGGGTTCATCAACTGGTTGACTTGACTTCCCATCCACAACCCGTCCACACACACACACACACATGCAACATGCGTTGCACACATGAGCAGCCTGCTGCCAAGGAGATTGCAGCAACAAAGGAAGCAGACGCCACCGCTGCTGTGACAACGAAGACGGAGGGCAAAGCCACCACAAGCAGCGGCAAACCAGCCACCACCGCTGCGCCCATGAAGAAGGCAACAACAACGACGCCAGCCGCGAAGGCAACAGCAAACGGGAAGCCGGAGATGAAGACGGACGATGATTTGTTCGGTGGTGATGATGACGACATCTTCAGCGACCTGCCGCCAGCCCAGCCCAAGGCCAAGTCCAAGGCCAAGACGAAGAAGGCAGCCACCTCCTCCAAGGCAAAGAAGGCGGCGACCAAGGCCAACGGTACGCTGCCTACTTCAAAGTTGAGCGCGGTGTGGGTGGAAGGCATATGCGTGGCTGATAATATAGCAGTACCTCAATTGTACTCACACACACACTGCAACACACACTGCAACACACTTTCCCACCTCACTCACACACACACACACACTCACTCACTCACTCACTCACTCACACACACCACACACACACACTCACTCACTCACTCACTCACTCACTCACTCACTCACTCACTCACTCACTCACTCACTCACTCACTCACTCACTCACTCACTCACTCACTCACTCACTCACTCACTCACTCACTCACTCACTCAAACCACATACACCCGCACAAACACCAGGCACTGGTGCTGCTGCCGATACGGCTGGCACGAACGGCGCGAGCGATGTCGGCGCGGCCAAAAAGAGCAGCAGAACCACCGCAGCCACCACCGCAGCCACGAAGAAGAAGGCCACCAAGACAAAGAAGAAGACAGGAACTGCAGCAACAGGGACGACGAAGAAGGCGACAACAGCAAAGGCGGCGCTTGACGACATCTTTGGCGATGACGACGATGACATCTTCGCCTGAATTCAGTCATGGCTGCTGCTTGAAGTGTGCGACGTGTTTTTGCCTGCTCGCTTGCCTGGAATGTGTTTTGGTTTTTTGTGGTTTCCATGTTTCGCACAAGGTTGTGCCTGTTAGTACGCACTTAGACGCGCTGATGTTTGATCCACCGCCGGACGAGTTTGCCACTCTTCGGTCCTCCGAATTACACCGTTGTGTTGTTTCCGTTTTACGTTTTGGTTTTGATGATCCCCAACCAAGCAACCAAAGCCAACACAAACCTGCACAGGACGAGGCTCAAGGCTCAGACTCGCACACACCAACCAGCGAGCAGCAATAACAGCAGAGCACCCGAACACACACCACACACACACACACTACCACACGCATACGCAGACGCCTCAATTGACTGCGTCATCCACAAACACCACGAGCACAGACCAACGAGAAAGAAGAAACACCGACAGGCGAGCGACTTGGTTGGTGGATTGGTTGGTTGGTGGTGGATTGTCGCCGCAGGCCGTTTGACCGACCACCTACCTGCGTGCCTTGAAATCGCCTTCTGCTGCACGATTGACGGCCCACCAGGGATGATGGACGAAGACATGATGGGCGATGGTGGTGATGGCACGTTGGCTGGGCAGGAGCGCCTGACCATGGCACAGCTGGCCACGTTTGAGCTGGAGGAGGAGGAGCACAGTGCATTGGAGCTGGTGCAGCTTGCGCGCGTCCTCGACAGCCAGGGCCACGTTGATGAGGCCGAGGATTTGTTCCAGGCAGCCTTTGAGCGCCTGCAACAGATTAGCGAGCAGTCTGCTGACCGCCGCGACGCCCTCGTGCCCACGGTCTGTACATGCACGTGTGTGCATGTATGTGTGCATGTGTGTGTGTGTGTGTATCTGCATCGACGTGCCCACGATGACACGTACATGCTGTGAGCAGCCACACACACGCAAAAACATGCACGCAAACACATGCACGCACATACACGCACGCACATACACGCACGCACGCACGCAATAACACGAACGCAAGCACGCGTGCATGCACATCCTCATCGTTGGCGAGACAGCGTCCTCACCATGTTTCCTTCTGTCTTCACAATGCCTGCAACTGCAGCTGAACGAAGTGGAGAGTCGCCTCAATGACATCCACAACATCCGCTTCGGTAGGTCGCCCCCGGCATCAACACAAATCGCTGCTTCAGCCCTCAGCAGTTGGTCAAGCAACTTGGACACGTCTCACCCCCTGCCCCGTGCTTCCTTGCTATCGTGTCGTGCCAACAACAGCGGATCTGAGCGCGCAAGCAGCAGAGCTGCTCGTTGCTGGTGAAGAGGCCCAAGCTCTTGAGAACTATGAGGAAGCCAAGGAGTGCTTCGTGGAGGCCGTCGACATCTTCTTTGAACTCGTGCGTGGTTTGTGTGTGTGTGTGTGTGTGTATGTGTGTCTGTCTGTGTATGTGTCTGTGTATGTGTGTGCATGTGTGTGTGTGTCTGTGTCTGCACGCGTCTTTGGTGCGATGGGTGTGTGCCAGCTCCTCATGTCTCATTGCGATTTGGTGCGAAACCAATTGCAGGAAGCACGGGCACAGAACAGGGAGGAGCGAACCCAGATGTCCATGAAGGCCATGGAAGTCTGCAACAAGTAAGAAAAGCGCACATCCTTGCCTGCAAGCAAATCAATTATCCCTTCAAAGTGCACTGGTCGCTCGTGCCCCCACGCGCGCTGATTCGCGTCTCACGTCGCTGCCATGTCACAATGTTGTTTTGTTCACGTTGTTAGGATCGAGGAAGTGCGCGTCTACTGCGCTCCAGACACCGACGAAACGCAACCGGTGCGTGTGTGTCTGTCTTTCTTGTCTGTCTGTCTGTATCTGTGTCTCTCTGCGAGTATGTGTCTGTGTCTGTGTCTGTGTCTGTGTGTGTGTGTGTATCTGTCTTGTCTGTCTGTCTGTCGTCGTTTGTTCGTTTGCCCGTCTTGCGTTGTTCTCACATTGAATTCGCACCATCAACACAACCTTGCAAACACAAACAGGGAGAGCATTTGAGCGTGAGCGACTTTGAACCACGCTCAAACTCAGGTAAACACTGCACTCTGCACACGCATCCACCAGCCATCGTCACTGTGCTGTGTCACATGCACGCACAAACGCACACACAAGCACACACAAGCACACACACACACACACAAGTACGCACTGTGCGTGCTGTCATGTCACAAGTACTGGCGCCCTAATACGCTGTCTCGCGCATTCATCTCTCAGTCCCATCTGAACCAGACCAGCGCCACCGCCTCTCTTCCTTCAACAGCGCTCCAGGCGCATCACGTGCGTGCAAGCAAACCCAATTCATGTTCCAGCACATGTACACGCAATTCATGTTCCAGCACATGTACACACAAGCTTGCCCGTTGCTTTCAAACACTCCTTTCCTGCGTGGTGATTGCCTGCAAGCAAGCAACACAACAACTCACTTTGTGTACTCACTTTCCACCACACACACACACCACTGGCTTGCGCATGCATCTGCAGTAAACCGCGCACAGGCTGGGCGCCGCTCACGCGTCTCAACCATTAGCAGAGAACTCAACGATGCTCTCAGCAGGTAAGGCGGGTGGTGACGATGGCTGTAGTTGGCGTTAGTTGGCAACATCTGTGTTTCGATCTACATGTCTGTTTATCTTTGTAAACGAGTGTCGTGAGATTTGTGCGCATGCACACATCCACCCACACATTCATCTACGCACACGCTTCCGCTGACACTAACTATCGTTTGTCCGCACACCCACCACCACCCTGTTCACAGCACGCGACATCAGCCGGACAAGCTTGTGGAGACGCAGCTCCAGGACCTCAACGAAGAGGACAAGCAGGCTGAACGCTCGTTGTCTGATGCTGCCGGGGCGGAATTCAGCTTCCGAGACAGCACAAGCCTCGTCATCGAAGACTCGGTGCGTTGCATTCTCCTTGATTTTATGTGTTGTCGTGGCGTGTTTATGTGTTGCATGCTCATGCGTGTGCGTTGATTCACATGTGCGTGCATGTCTGTTGTGTCGGAGGTTGAAAGTCGAGTTACTTTCGAGGCGGTGTTGTTATGCTACATCATTTCATGTCCTGTTGTGTTGTTTCATTGTTGCGATACATACATGATGTGACTGTAATGTAACGCAACGCTTCCTCGCGCACGTGTGATTGTGATGACACGATGACACTCAACCACGTGCGATCGTCCTGCCCTGTTCTTCATCCATCGACAGGACGCGCTGCATCAGCTCTCAACGCCTGTCCGCCGCTCTCTCCTCGGCCTCTTCGCGCAGCGACTGGCGTGCCTGCATGCATCGTGTCCATTGGAGCTCGTGTCGATCCAGTCCATGGAACTGGAGATCAACCAGGCCTTGCAGCTTGGCCTTGGTGTCAGTCTGGGCAAGCTCGCAAAACTGCAAGAGCTCAGCCTCGTACACACGGGCATCACAGCGAAAGGTAGCCATGCTGGTGGTGGTGGTGGTGGTGGTGGTGGCAGCTGACGTCATGGTGGTAGCTGATGTTGGTAATGGCTTGTGCTGATGATACTGGGTAGGATGTTCCACGTGAAGCCGGTTTCACGCACACCACGCACACACACACGCACGCACGCACACATACACACACACACGCACGCACACGCACGCACACACACGCACGCACATGCACACGCACGCATGCACGCACGCGCGCGCATTGTCGCTAATCCATTGCATTGACCCAATTCATCTCTGCACTGATATAAAATCACTCTGTTCTCGCTTGCTCCAACACCAGGTGCGGAGTTGCTTGCTGATGGATTGAAGCATTCCAAGTCGATACTCACGCTCAACCTCGACTTTAACTCCCTCGGCGACGAAGGAGTGGATGCGCTCTGCACACATCTGCTCACAAAGGACCAGAAATCCCTCAGGTGATGCCTGCAACTGACACGTTGCTTCTAAGCGATGAAAACAGCACTTGTATCCTGAACCACAGTGTCACTCATACCAAAGCCACTTCATCACATGCACACACGCGCGCGCATGTGCTCACGCACACCCTTTTCAACACCACCTTCTTCCCATTCTGCATCGTCCACTCTCTCCCAAACAGGCAATTGAGCTTGAAGAGCAATGGATTGTCCGAAGTCGGCGCGTTCTCGCTCTGCCACGCCCTTGACGTGTGCACAACGCTGTACAACCTTGACCTGCAAGGAAACATGATTGGCTGCGAGGCAGTCGATGTCTTTACCTCACGCAAGGCCGCCCAGGTGCGGGCTGACTGTGTGTATGTGTGTGTGTGCTTTTGTAAGTGTGTTTGTATTTGCGTATGTGTGTTTGTATTTGTGTATGTGTGTTTGTATTTGTGTATGTCTGTGTCTGCGTGTGTCTCGTGTCTGTCAGAGTCGCAACGCGTCGAGGATGTCTGAATCCTGGCACTCATTTCATTTTCGCATGCTTATGCAATACCCCGCATTCATACACACACACACACTCTCTCTCTCGTCTTCCAACCCTTTGCATCAATCAGGTCGTGTACATTGGACTGAAGCACGAGTCGCGATCGCGCGGGTGTCATAAGGATCACCGCTCCTCCCGTCGTGTTCTCCTCCAACCGTTCGACCCGAAGACATACCTTGGTGCGCTGGCACATTGTTGCTGCTACACTGACGCTGTGGTGACTGGTCTACTGTGGGTATGAAGAGTTTCCGTTTCTGGCAGTGTTGTCTGCTCTGTGAAATTGCTCTCTCCTCTCTTCCATGTATCTGCTTGGCAATGCATCTTTGCATCCTCGCTCACTCCACGTCACATCTCTCTGCTGGCTTGTGCTGCTCACTTCGCTGACTGGACAGACGTTGCTCGGCATGACCACGCCCATCACAAGAAGAGCAAGAAGAGCATTTTGCGCCGTCGAACGCGTTCGCCTTCAAGGGAGGAGCGAACGCCCCGCACTCCTTCGAAACCAAAACGCTCATCGTTCGATTTCGTCATTGGCCACACGCACAGCGCACCGCGCTCGCCACACACCCTGCCCAAGGTGATGATCGGTGGAGGTGATGACGTGTGCCTGTGTATGTGTGTGTGTGCGCCTGTGTATGTGTGTGTGTGTATGTGTGTGCGCGCCTGTGCATGTGTGATGACGTGCGCCTTTGTATGTGTGCGTGTGTGTGTCAGTGGAGATGTACACCGTGTATGCGTTGTCATGCCACTTGACACCAGTTCCCTTCTCACGCCCTCATTGTGGTGCTGTGCTTGCATTGCCATCAGGTGACTGAGGATGACACAAACGTGCTGTCGTACTTTGACGATGCCGTCACCACGGAACAGATGTACGACCACTACGTCTCCGTCTTTGACCGCGTCGACGAGCAGGTGCAGTGTGTTCCTGCGTGTGTTTGGGGGGATGCTTGTGTGCGTGCGTGTCTGTTGGTCTGTTTGTCTGTATGTCTGTCTGTCTGTCTTTTTGCTTGTCTGTATGTCTGTATGTCTGTCTGTCTGTCTGTTTGTCTGTCTGTTTGAGTGCCTGCACGGCTGCGTGAGTCTGTGTGCATGTGGATTGTCGTCCGACTGCATTTCTTTTCATCCGTCTGTGTCCGTGCAACAGCTGCACGACATCCAACAGCAGCAACCTCACCCTTCCAACACACGACGTTGCTCGCTTGTCTTCAACTGCAGGTCACAGCACCCAACATTCTGCTGGTGGGGCAGCGCGGCGTTGGGAAGACATCGCTCATCAACGCAATCTTCGACTCGAATGTGACCGGAAAACAGCAGCAGATGGCCGAACCAGGCAGGCCCCTCGAGGTAAACACGGCACACGCATGGCTTGTGAGAAGACAATGCTTGCTTGTGTGCATATACTTTTGTGTGTGTGTGCGTGTGTGCGTGTGTGTGTGCGTGTGTGCGTGTGTGCGCGTGTGTGTGTGTGCGTGTGTGCGTGTGTGTTGTCTATCTTGCTGCCTTGCTCCTGTACACCTATCCACCTCCTGGTCTCTCTCCACCACCCTCCCCTCACCCACCTTTGTCCATCCTGCGCCACGACAGTATCGGGATGTGAAGAACCGGTTCAAGGTGTGGGACACGACGAGCCTCGAGTCGGATCATGGCAACCACCAGGACTGTGCGGCCGTGGAGGCGCTACTGCGTCGACAGAGCGTTGACAAAGATCCGAACAAGCACGTGCACGCCCTCTGGTACATTGTGAGCGCGCCCGTGTGGCAGCTGCTTGATGACATCTACCTTGCACACCTCTGCCACGTCGTTGCATTCTACGGCATACCCGTCGTCGTCATCATCAACAAGGTCTTGCGTCTCTCTTTGTGTGTGTGTGTGTGTGTGTGTGTGTGTGTGTGTGTGTGTGTGTGTGTGTGTGTGCGTTCTTGCGTAAACTCGTGTGTACTTGTCTGTGTTTGCGTGTACTTGTCATTGTATATGTCATTGTGTGCGTACGCTTGTCCTTGATGCTGGCCTCCCTCACCGTTTGGACCTCACACATTGCTCTCCCCTTCCCCTTCTTTGTTCCTGTACAGGCTGACACGATCCCCCGACAGCGCTTGGCCAAGCTGAAGGAAGACATCCTCGCCTCTGCCGCGGGCTCGAAGATTGCGGGTGTGTTCACGGTCATCAGCGATCTCGAAGCACTGCAATCGCACATCACGCAGCAACTCAAATCAGGTGCGCCCCCTGTGTGTGTGTGTGTGTGTGTGTGTGTGTGTGTGTGTGTGTGTGTGTGTGTGTGTGTGTGTGTGTGTGTGTGTGTGTGTGTGTGTGTGTGTGTGTGTGTGTGTGTGTGTGTGTTGTGAACTTGATTGCGTAACACGGTGTTTGTCCTCACCTTTCCCCCCCCCCTCGCCCAAATCGCACATCATATTCCCACACTCCCATCACGCACGCCCATACAGCGGGGTGCCCCGATGTTGTGTTGCCGATGAAAGTCCAGAAGAAGATTCAGGAGGAGCTTGACTTTAAGCACAACATTCAGGACGCAATCGCACACGCCATCAGCAGCCGCCGCCCGGCAGCCAGACACGCGTGAGTCGTTGCATTGATGCAACGTGTGTGTGTGTGTCTGTGCTTGTAGCTTGAGTGTGTGTGTTTGTAGCTTGTGAGCGTGTGTGCGTATGTGTTTGTAGCTTGTGAGCGTGTTGCCACTGCCTGCGCGCGCAGTGTGTGGTCGAAGGCGCTCGTGGTGCATGCACACAAACATGTGTGTTACACCTCCCCCCCTCACCGCCGCATGCGCATCAACATACGCGCGACTCTATGGTAGTGTGATGGCAATCCAACTAATGTCGCTGCAGCGAAAGGAATCGACAGCGTGTGATGTCATGCGCGCGCACCTGCAGTCGTACAACCGTTCCATCCAACAATCCCTCTTCAAGCAGATGCGACGCGGAAAAAAGTGAGGGCCGCTGCTGTTGCTGCTACCATTCTCGTTCTTGTTCTTCTTGCATTTGGTCTCCATCATTCTTAGTTGACCGCTTGTACGAAACCTGCCACAATCCGGTGTTCACTTGCACTCGTGCTACGGCTCACCTCACCATGCTGTTCACCTCGCCCCATATGTCAACTGCATTTCTATGACCACAAGGCGCCTGAGTCAATTCATCGGGAAACTGGCGCTGCGACAGCTTGGCCAGTGGGGCTTCGTGACGGAGCAGCGTGGCGATGACGAAGCGGATGTTTCTGCCGCTTTTGGGCAAACTATCCTTGACTCGCTCGGCGAACACTTCCAGGCCCTCACAAGCCACGGATCACAAGTCAGTTTGCGTTTATTCACATGTGCTCGAGCGTCCACACGTTTGCCGACTCGTGTCATGCTTCTTCCTACCCGGCGAGCAACCGGCTCGTTGGCATTCTACACATGCTCTCTCATGTGTTGCATCATGAATCGACACGCCCTTGTATCGTGATCGCGATGATGATTCTTCAGGTTGATGCAAGTCTGTTTGTCGCCATCGGCGTCCTGTGGACGGTCACTCTCAAACTCCACCGCCAGCACTACCTGGTGCGTATTGTGTGCTGTGTGCTGGGCAGTGTGTGTGTGTGTGTGTGTGTGTGTGTGTGTGTGTGTGTGTGTGTGTGTGTGTGTGTACAAGCGTGTGTGCCCGCGCACTCTTCACACAACACGTGACCAAAACCCCAACCCGCCCGTGCCACTCATACCCTCTGTATCCTTCCAATCTCACGCATGTCCCCCTTGCTCCACCCTGCCTTCCCCCAGCGCCTGGCTGCTGACGACCAACCGCTCGACCGCCCCGTCATGAGCGCCGTTGCCGCCGCCATCGAAGACTTCAAGTGCGTCATCATTGGTGGTGGTCGTCGTCGTTGTGGTGGTGATGATATGCACATGCGCATTCGTATGCAGACAAGTGCACGTGCACGCTGTTACGCGTTGCCGTCGTGAGTGCACCTTACCTTGTCCAACCGTTTGCCCACACCGAACGCTTTCCACTTTCGCAAATCACCACACTACGCACCAGGGCAAACGCGGTGCACTTGGAAGGAACGCAGAAGGTGACGGAGGAACTGCTGATCAACCAAGAGCGAACGGAGCACACGAGTGCACAGCCACCGGCCATCGCAACGCACAAGATCCTGCGGGAAATTGAAACGCTTGTGAGCGATGGTGATCCCATGTGGAAAAGCGCCCGCCCGTCCACTGCAGGTGCGGTGATGGTGGTGATGATGCATAAGGAGGCTGCTGCCGTCGATGTTGTCGTTATTGGTTGTTGTTGTTGGTTGTTGTTGTTGTTGTTGTTGTTGTTGTTGTTGTTGTTGTTGTTGTTGTTGTTGTTGTTGTTGTTGTTGTTGTTGTTGTTGTTGTTGTTGTTGTTGTTGACACGCCCGTTCGCTGCAAGTGCCGGCAACTGTCCTTGCTCATTCTTCATCGCCGCCGCCCCGCCCCCAAACAAAACAAAACCCCACGACCGTCATTGCTTCGTTGCGTGCAATGCACAGATTGCACCAAGACCATTTCGACCGTCTGCGACGAAACCGTGCAGATGATCATGCAGCCGTCATCGGTACGAGCACTCACACACACGCGCGCACATGAGCTTCACGCACACGCACACACGCACATGAGCTCCACACTGCTGGACGTCGGCTGAGACTGACTCTCGTGCATGCATGCACACGGGTGCTCACGCGCTCAGTATTGCACGCTTTCTCATGGCCTCTAACTTGCACGTTCCCACGTGCTCACGTTCCATTCTCCTACAGCCACCATCCGTTCGCGATGCGTTCTTTGCGTCGTACGCCGCATGCAACAAATTCGACGCCACAGAGATTGTCGAATCAATGGTGCGAATGTGTGTGTGTGTGTGTGTGTGTGTGTATGTATGTGTCTGCACCGTGTGGGATTTGGGAGTGACGGGTAGAAGGGGCTCACTTACTCACAAACACGCCACCTCTTGCGTTCTTCGCAAACACTTACACGCATTCAAACAGGAGCGACTGTTTATGGCGCACACGTACAGCGACAACGGTCACAGCCGCCACATCTGCAGCATTGTTGCATCGTCAATGGTGCAGTGGTTCGAGACACTCTTTGATGTCGATTTCGTCCTTCCAGACAGCTCTGATGGTAATTCAGATACATGGGTCCTGCAAATGGAGCATGCAGTGTCGGTGTGTGTGATGTTTGTGTGTGCCTGTGTGTGAGTGATGTTTGCGTGTGTGTGTGTGTGTGTGTGTGTGTGTGTGTGTGTGTGTGTGTGATTTGTGTGTTGCTTCATCAAATCATCGTGCATGCCAAGTGCATTTGAGCACTCATGACAAATGTGTCATGATGTTGTCCAGGCGAAGCGCTGGAACTTGAGTCCGATTACATTGCGCTGCTGACACTGCAGCAGGAGGGCGTCAGACTTGCGCCAGTGGTGAGCACAGCTGTCAAGTCCAATGCATGCATGCAAGCACAGACATTCACCTGTACAGACATTCACCTGTACAGACATTCAGACACAATCAAACCCAAACTTGCAACACCATTGTCATTTCAAACACAAGTGCACACACATGTTCACAAACTCACATTACCCACTGCCTGGTGACAGACGGCGCACGTTTGCGAGTTCATTGAGAAGATTGAGAAGACACCGTGCGGTCAACACGCATCACACATCCGGCAGGCGCTCGAGGTGTGTGTGTGTGTGTGCGTGTGTGTTCGTGTATGTGTGTGTGTTTGTGTTTGTTTTGTGCTTGACGAGAATTTGCCATCCATTCTGTCTACTCGCAACGTATTTATGGATGTGTGTGTTTTCATTTGCAAACAATCATGACATGCACGTGCGCTCATCATCATCATCATCATCATCACACACGCACACACACGCACACATACACACAAATCACTTACAATTACCCACTACCACCTCGCCCACCACCACCACCTCCTCCCTGATCACCACAATGATAGGCGAGCGCGAACAAGATGGTTCATGCGCTTCGCCTCCCACAAGCAGCAGCACTGCCCGATATGGACTACGACTTTGGCCTTATGTTTGACGAGAGCGCTATTGCCACCCACATCTGCTATCGCAACGCCTGCTTCTTCCGCAAGTGAGTGTTAGTGCGTGTGTATGTGTGTGCGTGTGTATGTGCGTGTGTATGTGTGTGCGTGTGTATGTGCGTGTGTGTGTGCTGATTCCGGGTCTGGTGCCACAGTTCCCCTGTGCTTTCAAGTGCATCCCACATTGCTCTGTTCCAACCACTCACACCCTCACGCAACATGTCATTCTCCCTCAACCATCGTGCCTTCAGGTTCAAGATCAGAGATTTCTTTGATGCGCAGAGCGCGTGCCGCACACAGATGATTCACTTTGCAAACCAGGTGCGAGTGAACGTGGACATGTGTGCATGAACACAGCTGCACTCATGCGTGTGGCTGTGGGTGTTGTGTGGCTGTGCATGCTGCTATACATGTACCTGCTCTTATGTCAGTGTACGTTCACCCGGTAGCTGTTGCCCATTTCTCCTTCGCCCACCATCGCTCTTCCTCTCGCTACGCTCACTCCAACACAAACCATGTGTGCACACTCCATACACGTGCTTGTGTGCGCGGTACTTGCGTGCACACCGAACCCACAGGTGACCTACTGGGTTGTTGAGAACATTGTGAGCCGCAGCAACACTGCTCAGCGCGCACATCTGCTTGGAAAATTCATCCGTACCGCCCACCACCTCATGGTACGACCAAGTGCTGCACAGAGCGAACGCAAATTGTTGTGGGACCTTTAAGAGGGACGGGTGTAAACAGCAGATATATGTGTGTGTGTGTCTGTGTTGCTGTCGGAGCGATGCATCTCTTCTTTTCAATTGCAACGTTGCACTTCTGACACTTGCACGCATTTCGATGACAGAGCGAGCCGCTGCTGGATTTTCAAGGATTCATGGCCGTCATGACCGCTCTCCAGCTCTCACACGTGCGTTTGTTGTAAACATGTGTGTGTGCGAGTACATGTGTGGACGTGTGTGGACGTGTGTGTGTGTGTGTGTGTGTGTGGTTGTGGTTGAACATGTGTGAACGTGTGCCCGGTTGTGTTTCAACATGAATGGGCATTCCTTCTTCTCTCCCACTCAACCCCTCCCTTTGCTACCTGCCCCCCCCCTTACTCACTGCAATGCTTGCTTGTTACCTTCCGCTGTCACCTGATGTGTGCAGGTGTCACGCCTGAAGCGCACGTGGAAGCGGCTCACCAAAGACCAGCCGTATGTCGTGACGCTGTTCGAGAAGACTCTCACGCCTCTGGCTGATCCGGGCAACGGCATGTACAACACCATCCTCGCCCGCATCACAGGTGAGCCCTGTTGTGGGTTGCACCATCCTAGACGTTAGCCACCAGTCCCACTCCCTGTGCTTGCATGCACGCACCCACGCACACGTACGCAACTGTGTTTGTCTTGCTCGCACTTTTCTCACATGTTTTTGTGTGTGTGTGTGTGTGTGTGTTTGGTTACTGGACGACTCAATTAGCGCTTCCGGCTGGCTCGAGCGCTGTTCCATTTCTCGGCTCTTTCATGACTGCCATTGAACGATCAAAGGTTGGCCGCTTATGTACACATACACTCACTCACTCACTCACTCACTCACGCACTCACTCACTCACTCACTCACTCACTCACTCACTCACTCACTCACTCACTCACGCACTCACTCACTCACTCACTCACTCACTCACTCACTCACTCACTCACTCACTCACTCACCCGCCGCAACATGGACTGTGACTGTTTGTTGCGCCCCCCCCCCCACTTTCCCAACGAACAACAACAGACGTGCGCAAAGCGAAAGACGGGAGCCGACAATCTCGAACAAGCAAAGATTTTCGGTGAGGTTCCGAACACAACAACACGCGCTGCAACACGTTGACGTGGTGCACGATGTATAGATGTATTGCCTCAAGTGTCGAAACGTTTTGTCGTGTGCTCATGCGTGTGCCTGCATGTTCTCCTCCCACGCGCATGTCGACTTTAGTTGAAACGACCAAGAGCATCGACCGCACCGTCAGCTGCCTCAACGCCCTCAAGAGGGTGTGTGGCAACCAACATGCTGCCCACAGCCGCACGGATGCGTGTGCCTGTGTGTGTGTATGTGTGTGTGTGTGTGCGGGCCTGTGTGTATGTGTGTTTGTGAACGTCTCTCTGACTTTGCTGTTCAATTGTGCTGCTCTTATGCGTGTTTAAATTGCTCACCTCCGTTGTTCTGTGCGCGTGTTGCGTAACTGCAAGCAGGAGCGTGACTGGGAAGACTTTTTCCTGCTGCCCCAGTTTGTGAAATTCGTGGAGGAATCCCTGCCCACGCGTTTTGACCTGTCCTCAAACAAGGCGCGCAACCAGGTTGAAGAGGAACTAAACGCGCTGTCCTTGGAGAGCGAACCACGCGTACCGCACGTGGACGTGACAGACAACGACGCCAACACCAGCAGCGACAAGCCCGCAACCACCAGAGACAGCAACGAAGGCGACGAGGGAGGCAAGACGGACGACACAGACTCCGTTGATGGCCTGGACATGCATGGGCTGACACCAATTCGTCGCTCATCGCGGCCAGCGTTTGTGGCGCGTCTGTCACTGGAGAAGCCGCCGCCAACGCCAACAACAGCGGCGGCGACCGGATTTGCCACCACCTGCACCACGTTCACCTCCCCCACCCGGAACGGCGAAGGCAGCGAAGACGGAGCAATTGGGGTACTTGGTCTAAGCAGCAGCAACGACAACAGCGACAACAGCGACACGGACGCAGACAGCACAACCGCAAACGCGCCATTCAACGCCACCCCGGACTTCTTCAACACAAGCGCCAGCAGCAACAGCAGCGCGGGTGCGGGCAAACGAAGCGACGCACCATCCACATTGGCAGCAACGACGACAACGGCACCGACAGCGAGCAGCTCTCTTGCCAATCGCCGTTCTGCTCCCCCGCTCAAGATCAACGGTCTGAGCCCTGGCGTGAACAAGCTCCCACGCATCTCCCCACCACACTCGCCCCAGCAGTCGAGCAAGGCGCGTCCAAAGCCAAGCCAGTTCCTTCGCCAGCAGCCACCGTCTGCCGGTGTTCCCCGACAGCGGAGCAGAAACAGAGAGGTCGGGCCATCGCAGGAGTCAGACGTGTGATGGGAGAGGCCGGGGTTGTTTGGTGTTTGTCTGTGTCTGTGTATGTGTGTCTGTGTGCGTCAAAGTGCATGTGTGTGTGTGTGTGTGTCTATGTGCGTCAGTGTGCATGTGTGTGTGTGTGCGCGCGTGTCTGTGTGGGACTGTTGTGCTGCTGACCCATTGTAGAAACAGAAATGTTAGAAATGTTGAGTGAGTGAGAGAGAGAGCGAGAGAGAGAGAGAGAGAGAGAGTGTGTGTGTGTGTGTGTGTGCGTTGCTAAATTGCTTTTTGTAAAGTGTTCATTTGCATTTGACTTGATGAGTAAAACCAAAACCACATGGAACAAAGCTCGTGGCAAACCACATCCAAGAATGCGGACAAGACTGTGGGAGAGAATCGACAACCACAAGTAACAACAACAATCCATGGAAGCCAACAACAGCAAAAACAAACAATAATGTGCACCTCCACGCAGCTAACATACACGTATTTAACTGTGTGTGTGTGTGTATGTGTGTGTGCGCGCGTCTGTGTGTGTGTGTGTGTGTGTGTGTGTGTGTCTGTGTGTGGGCGCATCGACTATGATGACGAGGGCGGCGTGCGTGTGTCCGTGTGTTGCAGCAAACGCTCCATGATCTTGAGCGTTTTCTTGAAGACGACATGTGTTGCGCGAGAGGCGTCCTTGAAGTTGAGAAAGCCGTGTGGTACGGACTCGTACACAAACAGCTCGTGCCCAACGCCAAGCTCTGATCATCGTGGGTGGGGATGTCATGCATGAGTGGTGATGATGATGATGATGGTGGTGGTGGTGGTGGTGGGAGGGGTAAGGGCGAGGGTTGGCACATGGAGACTTCTTCGCACAGCATGTATGTTGAAACCCAATAATTGCAGTGGCAACAGAAAAGTGCTGCTTGAGCACTCAGAAGCACACACACACACACACACACACACACACACACACACACACACACACACACACACACACACACACACACAGAGCAAGTCGTCACCTCTGAGGCGGAGGGCGAATGCAAGCGCATCATCGAGGAGAGGATCGTTCTCCAGCCCAACAATGACGGTGAACGGCAGCTGCTGAAGAATGTGGTCCGGGGCATGGTATGGCGACATGAGCATGTCCGTGATCTCCACCTTGTCAAGCGTGGACACCTTCTGCCCAGCATAGGCTGCTAGGCAGGTCTCAAGCACGCCTTGGTTCAGCAGCGTGTCCAGACTAGACAACATGCGTGACGAGGACAGCGCCAAGTTGACATTTAGCGCCGGGTAAAACGGCATGATTGCGTTAGGGAGGCGTACGCCCTCCAAAATGCAGCGGAGAGTGAGGGAAACAGTCAAGTTTCCACCGGCTGAATCGCCCGTCACCAAAACGTGTTTGCCGGTCCATCCAAGCGCATGCGCATTCTCCAGCGCCCACACATACGCAAAGAACGCCTCCTGCGCTGGTCTGTCGTGTGGCGTGATGCGTGTATGTTTGTGGGTGTATGTGTGTGTGTGTGTGTGTGTGTGTGTGTGTGTGTGTGTGTGTGTGTGTGTGTGTGTGTGTGTGTGTGTGTGTGTGTGTGTGTGTGTGTGTGTGTGTGTGTGACGGCAATAACGGGTCTCACGAATGCATGTGCTAGAACGAAACAAGCTACACACGAAAGAAGAAGAAATAAGATGCAAGACCACGCTCACACTCACATGCACACGCACACAGAAAACACACCTTGGGTAGGCGTGCTCGGGAGAGAGAGCGTAGTCAATGCTGAGGATGGGGCAGTCAAAGTGCGCCGCCCAGTCGCGAAGATACACCTCGTGCGATGCACTCGAGTTGGCAATGAACCCACCACCGTGCAGATGGAAGATGAGCGTGTCACTTGCAGGTGCAACGTTCCGCCCAACGCCGGCCGGCTGCTGCCCTTCCCGCCGCCTGTCGACACGAGGTGGTGACGCGGATGTGTGCATGCATGCATGCAGGCATTGTGAGCTGGCGGGGTGGAACGCGCGGATACATCGTGGAGCAGCGCAACTTGGGCAACGAAGACGCACAACGATATCACACACACACAGACACACACACACAGACAAACAGACAGACAGACAGACAGACAGCAAGAGGCAGGCACACACACACACACATACACACACAGGCAGGCAGACACAGAGGCAGACACACACACGCACACATGCGCGTGCCAAAAGCGGGCAAGCCGTTCTCACTTGGCGGAGAGGAGACGGGCGCGGATCGTTCCAAAGTTTGGCGCCTGACTCTCTGCTCGCGTGTCTGATGAATGCACAGGAGGCAGTGAATGATGAGGGGTGGAATAAGCTGTAAGCACAGTGCCAATTTCAGAGACACGATCCACAACAGAGCGACGCGCACGCACACACACACACACAGATACACCACACACACACACACACACACCACGCATACACACACACACACCACGCATACACACACACGCACAGGGCGGCAAGCGAGCGCACCAAAGTCATCTGAGACAGAAGTGCGGGAACCGAGCGAGATATCGCTGATCAACTTGACGGCAAACGACGTCGCAAGATACTCTTTCTCATCGACGGGCGGCGTGGGTGTGGTGGCAGTGCCATCATCGTCATCACCACCATCACTGGTGTGGTTGTGTCCCTGTTCCTGCTCCGCGCTGCTCACATCCTCCTGCTTCTCCTTCTGCATTGCACGCGCTCTGTCATCGCCATCAAACACAGCACCATCACCATCACCATCATCACCACCACCACCTTCCCCATCGGCTCCCGGCCTTCCTTCTGCCGAAGCCGTTGCGGCTGCTGTCGTTGTTGTCGCTGCTGCTGGTGTGGTCGTGCTTGGTTCAGCATCGCGTGCCAGCTGCCCAACACCAGCGAGTCCACCGCGCACCGCCTCCGCCTCCTTGTGAATGCTCCGCTTCACGCCCGCGTACTTGCGTGCAAGCACCGCAGTCAGCGCCGCGTGCTCGAGCGGAGATATGGTCCCCTCTTCCTTCATTGCGTCCACGTCCGTGCGAATTGCTGCCGCCCGCCGCTGCAACTCTGCTGTGCTCCCGCTGCCCTCCATGTCGTGTGCGTACTTCAGCACCAGCCCCGCGTATGCACTCGACACACGCGCACCGCCACTCCTGCTGGAGGTGCTGGTGTCAGATGGATTGGTTGACGCTGCTGTTGTTGGCGCCGTCGTGCTGGTTGTGGGTTCTGCTGGCGTGCTGTCCGCCTGTTGTGTTGCATGCGTGTCTGGTGTGACGTATTTGCTCTGCTGTGCAAGCGCACGCTGATGAATGTCGTTGCCGAGGGTGGAAACAACATCCGGGAGGACAGGGATGGTTCCCACAGGTCCATTGTGCAAGATGGGGTACCCCTGAATTGGAAACACGTGGTTGATAGCCAGTGACGGGCCTGTGACTTTGGGCATGTTGCGCGCCAGCGTGCTCTCCGTCAAATTCCAGAACGATTTCACGAACGAAACGGAGTGCGAACGCATCTGCAATTCAAAGTGATGTTTTCAAGTACATCGAAACAGCAGAGTAATTGCGTTGCCAAGTGAGGAGGACATGAGCAGGAGTATGGTTCAAACACCAGCTCAGGTTGCGTGTGCATGAGTGTGCATGTGTGTGAGCGTGCATGCGTGCATGTGTGTACGTGCGTATGTGTATGCATGTTTCTGTATGTGTGTGCGTGTGTGTACGCGCGTATGTGTGTGCCTATGTGTGCATGTGTGCATGTGTATGCATGTGTGTGTGCATGCGTGCGCACCTGCGCCACGAGGTCGCGTGCTTGGTCGTCGGGCGTGATGACGTATCGTACAGCAGCGACTGCAGACGCGAGACCGCGGAAGAACGCGTTTGGAGAGCGCTGTGTGTTGTGGAAGTTGTGCCGGAAGCCGGCCATCGCCGCCAAAATCACCTGCACACACACACACAGGTGGAGTTGTGAGGGAGATGTGTATTTGAGCATAAGTTTGGCGGGATAAACTTGTGTGAGGCCGGCATCACGCATGAGCCAAAAGAGTCAATGCGGCACTGGAGTGAAAGTGAAGGGTCAACGCACCGGAAACTCACACACACAGCACAACGAACACGCACAGCACAACGAACACGCACAGCACAACGAACACGCACAGCACAACAAACACAAGACACGACGTGCACCGCGAAACAGCAGGCCACACCTGCATGACAGTGGCAATCTGGTCCGGGAGGTGGAAGCCAGCGCGGCGACCGTAGAAACAGCTGATGTCGACACTTCGCGACACACGCACGAGCTCTTGCGCAAGGGGATCATCGGTTGCGCGGCAGAACAGGCGCTTTCCCTTCAGCAACGAGTGCAGCCGCACACTCGACGCAAACGTGATGCGGAACGCCTGGTGTATGTGTGTGTGTGTGTGAGTGTGTATGTGTGAGTGTGTGTGTGAAATCTCGCTCGTCAAGGGGGAGAAAAGATGCCGCGAGAGAACACACGAATGGCGGCGACAACAAGCGACAACCACCACCACCACCATCAATATCATCATCAATATCACCACCACCATCAATATCATCATCAATATCATCATCATCATCAATATCACCACCACCATCATCATCATCATCATCATCATCAATATCACCACCACCATCATCATCATCATCATCATCATCATCATCATCATCATCACCAATATCACCCCCCTCATCAATACCACCCCCAACCTCGAGCATGGCGACACCGTAGTCCTCGATGCTGGAGTAGATGCTGTCGGCGTTGAAGAACAGATTGTCTCGCTCATTGCGGCATTCAAGCAGTGTGTGCTGTTGACATGGGCAGCGGTGGGGTGGGGCGCAACATCGGTAGCATGCAAGCGTGATGACAGGTGGGGTTGATGGAGAGGTGAAACAGGAACTTCAGCGAGAACGCGTGACTGTTAATGGTGAGAGACAAACGCGAGACAATTCAACGCACAAGCAAATGCGTATGCAGCATACGCGGCCAACAACGGCAATGATTTGACACAAACAACAAATCAGGTCAGCACACTGACACCACGACATTGATCAACACACTCACGTGAAACTTCTGAAGCAACCGGAAAAAGGCCTTTAGCTGACTGCGGAACCCATTGTACCTGCATGCATGTGCCCATGTGTATGCGTTTGTGTGTATGCGTTATGTGTGTGTGTGTGTGTGTGTGTGTGTGCAGGTATAAACAGAACACGGCACCCATGGAACGCGTGAAAAAAGGAGGAGAGGGGGCATAAATGACGGAATCTGATCTTTGGATGCGTGCATGTTGTAAAGACACACACACACACACACACACACACACACACACACACACACACACAACAACACAC